CCAATGCATTTAAAACTATTCTTTCAACTTCTCTGAAACATCACTCATTCTCCCCCCTCCACACATTTTTGATTTCGCCCAACTGCGTTTGACGAACTCTGTTTCCCTTCTTGGATTGCCTATAAATTCTTCTTCAAGCTCAACTTGCTTCTCGTAATGCGGGCTAGGTTGTTTTTCATTCCGAACCAGACGCTTTTCATCCCATCTCAAAGCTCAAATCCACCTAGCTTGTGGCTGTCTTCCCTTTGCCTTCTTGATCGTGTTCAACGAAAGACCATCTGGCTGATCGATCATCTTTTAACATGCAATCTGCAATCACTAGCCCATCGACGGGTAGTTACTTCATTGTATTTGCTCTACTGTTACTTTTTTGTTTTGATCCTCCGGAGCTCATCTCGGTAGTTCCTATAAATTCCGCTCGTCCTTCCTTCTCTATCAGATTCCGGCTTCCAGATGCACCTCTCTTATCCAATCTTTTTCCCCGGACTGCCAGGTTGTGGAACAACCTCCCACTTTCCGATTTTCCCGCAACTTACAGCCTTACATTCTTTAAATGCAGAATTAATGAATTGGATCTTATGTGAATGTTCCTCTTTTCTCCCTTTTATAATATGCCTTTTGTCTACGGGGATTTCTTTTTACTGCACTTCATATTATGTAAGATAGAGGAGACAGCTCTTTCTTGATAGGCTTTGATAGTTTGAAAATCGAGGTATAGAAGGTAAAACAGGACAACCAAAATAGCAGAATATGCATCCGAGATAAGGGCTATATCTGCGGCGGAAGGACAGCAGCAAATATATGACGTTCATCAAGCTGCCGCGAACTCGCTTTATTAATTTCACCTGTGGCAAACTAAAGAGTGGTTTAGTCCTTGGAACCTGTGGTCCAAACACCAACATCCACACCCAATTTTTGTGGTAGGCAGCTTTGCTATCGTTTGGTTCAATAGCACGCCTAACCTAGAGCGGCCTTTTGAGGTTCACCATTCCAAGACCCGAGGCATCGGTTACCGGTATCCATCAATGAACAGTATTTGCTCGAGACTATGGGACATAACCCGTCTGCCGTTCATCAAACTAGAGGTAATAAAAAATTGCGTGATTAAATAGGATAGAACTATTAGTAAAGACAGTGGTCAAAACTCACGTGGATCGATTCAAGCTGTAATATGGCTCCTTGATAAACAGATTACTGAAGAACGACAGCGCAAAGATGAGGATCAGCGGTATCAATTGAACGTAGATGAAGTAGTTATTCTGGAAAGGACGAAAGTGCACTCAGATACTCGGGATTTCTGAATGAAATCGGACTTGTAATTCCCGTAACAAAAATGAATGGACCTTGAATCGGAATCAATTAAACCACTACGCCCACTGTAGTACTAATCAAGCAGCCCCAAACTTCAAACTGGTGAATTAATGAGCTACACAGCTAGACTGATTAGTAATCCCAGGTCTAATTCTGTTTGTAAGTTCTTGCTGTGAAGTACAAAATATCTCACCACGAGTTGGGAAAACGGACTTGAATAGTGAGTGGGGAAACAAGGATGGAAATAAACAGGTCCATGAAATGCAGAAAAGGTCGCCATGCAAGGACTTATTTAATAATCACATTCCATGACTAAATGCAATAACAGAAATCAAATTAGGTATCATTCAGCCATCCCTTGGCGACAAAAACGCCCGGAAGAGTGGCATCACCTACCTCACGCTCAGATTCACGCGACCTCGGGCGGGGGCGGTGGCCTCCATAAACTTGAGAAAACGGGAATCCACCGTTGAAAAACATTGAAAATACATCCGCTGCAATAATAGCTCGCAATAAGTCGGTGCAACTTTACCATCATATTGAAAGAATGCATCGCCATGTCGGTGGACACGAGTTATTCTTGGAGGTTGCTCTTCTTCTGTCCCGAATTGATCGTATCTGCGGCGCTTTTCTGTGTCTGTTAGTACATTCAACGCGGTACCGATCTTCTTAAACGCCTCGGTAGCCCCAGGAGCGCGATTTTTGTCTGGGTGAAATTTAAGAGCCAAGCTACGGAAACGATGAACGATAAAACATTACTCACTTTTTATAAGCTCGCCTTATTTGGTCTTCTGAGCTATCGCGCGATACTCCTAAAATATCATAATAATTTTTACAGGCCAGGACGCGTCGCACGGCATCCGCCTGGGACTTTGTGAAGGCCGGTTGGGAACCGGTAGTGGCAGACGGTGTTTGAGAATCACTGGGAGCAGAGGATATGTCCTCTTCTTTTCTGGGGAATCTCTCACGCGACGGCGATCGTGAAGTACGAAGAAGGCATTCGAGGCCTAACAATTGTATTTCTTTATGCTACAGTATGCCATTGACTAACCAGTGACAGCAACAGAGGGATAGAGCCTCATGGCCTTGGCTAGAATACGCCTGGCAGACTCCAATTCGCCGGCTGCCAAGCGCTTCCGAGCCATAGCCACGCATCTGAGCGCCTCATCCTTGTTAGCATCCATATTCTGATCGGCGACTGGGAGGAACAACGCCCCGAGCGGCGCGAAAATGATAGGTTAAAACAAATCTAGTACTGTTTTGACTTTTCCAATCACCTTCACGTTTGAATTTATTGTTCGCGACCTAAAATATGTAGAACGTGTTTTTCAATTAATCTGCAGGGAGAACACTGTCCTTGACACCATTTCAGCGGTAAATTGTAACGAACTCTCATTTTCAAAACGGTACGTACCACGCGCGTGGTTTCAATTTTGACGTGCTCTCTGCTACAACCTATTGATACTAAT